GCAGGAATGTTGTGATCAAGGAGTTCCCCAAGCAGCAGAACTAACACCCAGAGGAGCCAAGCAGGAGCCTCATGGCACCCTGCCCGCCAGACACGGGCCTCCTGCCCCAGCTCTGCCCACGCACGCCAGGAACTCTGCGCTGGCTGCCCAGAGAGCTGCCCACGGAGGGCAAGGGCAGCGCCAGCAACCCCTCCCTACCTGCTGGTCCTCACAATGGGAGTAGGCAGGACACAGGTCAGCTGCCAGCCGTACGCAGCGAGAGAATTCAGCAGCGGGACGTAGTCGGTCTGCACCTCGGTGCCCTAGGAGAGAACCATCGACAGCTGGCAGCGTCACCTGCACTGTGACATTCCGTTGGGGACACGCAAAAAACAACCACAAAAAAATCCACGTGTGGGCTTCCTCGGAGGGAGGATGGAGTTTTGCACTGAACTGGGTCATTGGGTGCATTCAGCCAGGCAGGAAGGAAAACGTTTGAAAACACGAGAGACAGGCCCAGCCGCTTGCACGCGGCAAACTGTCAAATGAGTTGTTTAAAATGGCAGACATCTGTGATCTTGTTTTCACACCGCCTGACTCATCCAACCAGCCTTCAATGACTCCACATCCGAACAGGAAAAAGTCATTACATTTTATCAATTATCTTCTCCCAAGCAAAAAGATATTCAAGTAGTAAAAAAAACGACAGCATTGCTTTGCCTAGGTTCGGTACCTGTCTGAGCTAGAGTAAAAACCCAAAGATCTGTACTGAAATCAGACAGGTTACTCTGCTGTGATGGATCAAAAGCAAAATAGCCAACAACAACAACAACAACAAAAACCAAAATATAAGTACAGGTCTGTTCCTTTTATCACCCACAAATACGCATCACTTCCTTGTTAGTTTGAACCAGGAAACCTGTGGGCGAGACGAAAAGCATTGCCTTTCGGTGCCAGAGCCCGGCTCCAGCCGCAGAGCCACCCAGCACAGCCTTGCTCATTCTCTTTCTGCTAAATGGCAGACCCTGTAATTTGCACGGAAAGAACCACTGGTGGTTTCAGCAAAGATTGCTCCAGTGAGGTGTCTAACTGCCAAGACTTCCAGTAATTTAACAAGAAGATGCTAGAGCATATTTACTAGTTTTTAATTTTAATAAACACAAAGCAGACAAACCAGTAACTAGTAACCTCTAAACATAACTACCTTCCACTGGAATAACAACTGTATTTGCCAAAAAGCTCAGGCACTTACACTGCTTTCATGTGCACACAAGGAGTTTTAACTGCCAGTTCTCAGCACTGGTTAAGGCACAATAGTTTTGCAGCTCAAAAAAATCCATTTATTCCACAGTAATAAAATAGTCATTTGATCAGAACTAATCCAAATCCTGCTGTAGTTATTTCAAAGTATTTTAGTGAATTTCAAACTCAGCTCTTCCTTTCTTCTAACAAATGTAATTTAGGTCACTTGATATCTTCATAACTGAAGGACTGCCTGACTATACCTATTAAAAACCTGATCATGACTACAACTGCAAATAGCTGAAGGAGCTGTATCACTCCCGCTTAAAAACATTTTAAAACTCTATTCCAGCAAGCGCATGCAAGAGAATGCTCTACTGGTGTTACTTCTGTATTCTGTACAGAGGTTTTCAGGGCCTTCCAGAGATACTGCTGCTTTACAGCATCACCATGTACAGACCACTGTTGCTAACTCTAGGAGAGGATGTCCTGCGAGAGGGGCCTTTGACTTACGTCCTCTGAAGCAGCTGGGACTTGTCCTACATCTGTGGTTGTGGTAGATTCAGAGTTTTTTCAGACTCCCATTTCCCACTCTAAGATGGATATTTCTGCCCTCTTTCCAGTTTTTAACATACAATATTCAAGGGCAATGCAAAAATTATGGCATATCTAGATGCCTTTAAGACCTCATGTCTCAGGAAAACACACTAACAACACACTGAGATTTTTAAGAACGGTCAACAACATCTTCCAAAAATAATGACAAAATATGCGACACGTAGGAATAAGTTCAGAGCACCCACCATTGCAAGCCTGCCATGAGGTGCCTGGAAGAACATATAAAAGGATCTGACTAAAACATTCCCTCCATCAAACAGCATTTGTAGAGGAAGAACTAGAAGCAGCTCACTCATTTAAAGGGTGGAAGACTACTAGGTCAGGAAAAACTGGCTCAGCAGACCTTTTTCATGCCCCAAGCAACATCTTGCATTGCAAGGAGGATTTCTATTTTGAATTCATTGCCTAAGGATGGCAATTAGCAAGGAGAACCTTCTCCTTGCATCAGGATGTGCAACAAACGTCAAACATCAGAGGGAGATTAGGGCAATGAGGAAGGACATCAATACCACACAGAGCTCATTTGGCTGCTGCAGAAGCCAAATTGTTTCAGGGATGCACCATCAGCCCTGCCACAGCCCAGTGTCCCTGCAGGCACTGGGTGGTGAGACAGGGCTGGCTCTGGAACCGTCTGACTCGTCGGGATTAAGCATCATCTGCATCAGATGAAATCTATCACAATCCCAAGGGTGCTGAAAGGAAAAGAGCAGGAAAAGCAGGTTCAGAAGTATAAAGTTGTTGAAACACAAATGTAAGATTAAAATCAATTAGGCTTAAAGAATTTAAAAGAAAATCTGGAAATGTAAAAAACTGTTGAAAAAGTGCTGTGCAATTGCTACAGAAGGGCGGCCTCTTACTCCTCACATGCGCTGGTACCTGGCACCACTATCTGCTGCTTGGAGGAAGGAAGCACATACATTATGCAGAGGTGAACACCTCCTCCAAGCTCCACATGCTCTTTAACAAGCTCTCTCCAACTCCGCAGGATGCTTTGCTGGAGTCAGACACCAAACCTCTTCCCAAGGTCCCTGGGGGAATAAACTACTCATAATAATTGGCTATGTTTGAAGATGATAGGCAAGAGAAAGGAGACACTCCTGAATAAACAGGTGTAATTCATATGGGCTTCAAGCTCCTTACTTGCAAATAGATAATTGAAGCTTTAAGATGACAAGAAATGGTTTCTCCCTCCCCCTCCTGAATCATCGGTGGTAATCCTATCCCAGGACTGGAATTTGTGTGCCAGCAGGAGTCATGGTTACACAGATCTTTAATTGCTGTCATATTAAATGCCTTCCAAAGCAAAAATGCTTCTAAACAAACAATACACTGGGAGATGGGTACAGACAAGAGTCATCCTGTATTCATTTTACATTTAATACAATAACTAAAATTATTTTATCTACTATTATTTGAGACAATGCAAATAAAATTTCAAACATACAGTTCCATAAGATGCTCTTTCTAGCTAGCAAATATTGGAGTTGAACACCAGCAAGTAGTGAGTACGTGCCAGAGCTCTACTGAAAAAGAAGTGTTTAAATAACGTGTCTCAAACTGCGAGACATTTCATTCAGTGAAAGGGTGGAAAATTTTAATTAACTTGCTTTCCACTCTCCTGTGGATGCTAAGTAATCTCTGATCACACCTTTAGTGTCAAGAAGCCAGAGCATATTGAGCTAGGTTTTTCCCTTGACTTGCATCACATGAAAAGAATTCACTTTATTTATAGTTGTACTGTTTGTTTCCAGCATTTTCTCATTTCACAGTTGCTTTTGCTCATTAGAAAAAAAAAATGATTAAAAAATCATAACAATAATATCTAGGGCAAGTCACACAAACAACTGCATTAACAATTTTTCTTTTCTTTTTCTCACCTACTGAAGCAATTTTAACCACAGCAAGATAATAAACACGACAACTACTAAGCTCTTGTGAGACAGAAGTTCTTTAGAAATCATTCCTTCCTGGGTTGAGTGAACGTGATTTAGTTACGAGGCAGCTATGGATTGTCACTATATTTTTTTCCATCATGGATTAAAGAGTGGAAGATTGAAAATCCCATTAAATAAATTTTAATAAAACCTTTATCGGCAAATCCTGACAGACTGCGTACTAAGATCTAAAGGCAGATGGCAAAAAGGATGGGAACTACAAAACATGAGTCACTTTGAAAGTGTAACCTACTATTTGTTGGGGAAAACAGGCAGTGTGTTCAGACCCAGCTCCTTCCAAAGAACAGAGGGGAGAGCCCACGAGGTTGGCAACCTGCACCCCCTGCCAGGGCTGGTTACCAGTACCCACCACTGCCAAAGCCAGTGTTTTCTCTCCTGGGGCACTGAAGGGAGGAAGAGGAGGTGGCAGAGGCAGGACCCACACCTTGGTGGCAAAGAAAGAAAGAAAAATGGGAGAAATGGGATATATGGGCTGTGTGAGAACGACTTGGTACAACTGTGCTGCAAAGGGTTTATGTTTGCAGCAACACAGCCAACAACGAGACTAAACCCAAGCTCTAATTTTTTTTCAATTATTTGCCTTTTTCTTTTTCTGACTTCTTCCAAAAGGTAATTTCTGCTAACCATATAACATTATAAATCTCTTAAAAGCACTTATCAAAACCAGAAGTTTCACAAGTGTTTCAGCAATAGAAGTTGGCCTATGCTCCTCTGGTACTGAGCTGCTCCTACATTTCCATGTGTAGTACACCACAGCACCTTGCTAGCAGATTCCTGCTACATGCCCATTAGCTGTATAGCAGAGGGATGTGGGACAATGGGACGTCAGTGGAAAGTTAACATTAAAAAAAACAGTAATACATAAATCCACAGACAGGCTTTTTGCTCATTATTCTGGGCACAGGCAATTTAAAGCTATTTATGATTAGTTAATATATGTGAATTCATGCACTGTGAAATATTTCTGAGACTGCAGTAAGGCTGTAACACTGCACAGGGTGCCGTGCTGCTCAGACAGTTCTTCTGCATTCCAGGTGTGTCTGGTCACGAGTTCAATACCCGGACTGGGTGCCAGTGCCACGCAGCGTTCACATCTGCCTCCAGCTAGGGTGAGAGAAAACCAACCAAAAAACCTTCCTGTGCCCACAAGGCCCACTTCCCCCAGTGACTGCTGCAGATGCTAATCCTACTTTCAAGCATATGTATAAACTAACAAAAATGTTTGCATGCTCCTGATACTGCCTGCACCCGTAACAGAAGCACATTTGCACAGCCACACAGTTCTGCATTTCCAGAAGCACAGGACAGGTAGTGAAAGTGCCCTGCAAGGTGGATGTGTTGGCACAGAAGTTCTCCACAAAGGAAGCACAGAAGCATCTTACAAAATGTGTTAAACTTATCGTTGCACAGGCAACATACATGTGACTGGGCAACTCCACAGAACTGGCCACAAAGCACAAGAAACAAATGTGACCTACCAATCCATTAGTGTATTTTTTTAAATAACT